CGCTTCCTTGAGTGTTAGACATCCGGGCGAATTTTGGACAAAAATGAAGCCCCTTTCGCCAACTAGTTCTGGTAAAAACATACAAAGCGTCATCCTCGTTGAGGGCAGTAGTGTTGTTTCCGACCCTGGGTGTGTGGCCAAAGTCTTTAGAGATTACTTCGCTAATATTATTCAGTTAGAGCATAGATCTGACACTGACTACACTGACCATCCTAGTATCAAGGCAATAAGCAATCTACGTTTCTCAAGTGAATTTAATTACTCCCCAGTCAGTACTTCATATATCCGTAACATCTTAGACCCACCTTAATCCGAGAAAGGCAGTTGGGGTAGGCGGCATTTCACCACGAATCTTGCGTTTGGGATCCCCAGTTCTTGCCGAAGAGGTGACTAAGTTGATCAACTTCCTGAATCGCCCATTGCCGTCTGAATGAAAGCAAGCGGGCCTTACTCCTGTCTTTAAACGGGGGATTGACACAGACAAAGCAAAATACCGCCCTGTTCGAAGGTATTTGAGAAAGTTATTTACGACCAAACTTGGAATGCATTTCATAGCGTTTTGTCCTCAAACTTATCTGGATTTATGAAAACTCACTCTTGCTGCACTGCATTGCTAAAAATGACTGAAGACTGGAGGAACAGTATTGGTAACAAGGAAGCTGTAGCAGCGGTCGCTGTGGACTTGAGCAAAGCGTTTGACGCAATAAACCACAGCCTTCCGCTCGCGAAGTTGAAGGCCTATGGCTTTCCTTTTATATTACCTCATCTCGAATACTGCAGTCCTTTGTTTGTAGGCATAGGTACGGGTCAACGCAACCGTCTGGAAGATGGCAACTTTTATTTTTGAGAACATTAATCGGGCACAATAAGTCAATGTCATACATACGACGAGGTGCTCACTACGGCTAACATGAAATCCTTATATTGTAGGCGCTTACACCAGGCGTTAATACCTCTTTTCAAATCTTTTAAAATGCTTAAATGGTACGGGACCTACTTATATTGGAAGCCTTTTTAAATACAGGCATACACCGTATAGGCTGAGAGGCGAGGGCTTGAATTTGGAATTACTTTACTTTAATCTTAAATTTAAGAATAAGAAAAATTCTTTCACTTATTCATTAACTAAGTTATGGAACAGTTTGCCTTGTCAAGTGGGTCTTTCAAGTGATTCTAATGACTTCAGAAGTAAATTGTACGACAGCAGCTTTTTAGAACGTGTCTTATAGTGCACGATTGTACCTTTTAACTGTTTTTAGAACGAGTATTATAGTTTTCCTAGTCACGTTTTTAGTATGTGGCTTTTCAGTCGGTTTTAGCTTTTATATTTTATGTTTTTATTACCACGTTTTTTATATGTATATATTTATTGAGTTGTTTTTAAAATTGAATAATATTATATAGCTGTAATTATTGTAGATTTTATTTATACACGTTCGTATTTTGAACGAGTTTTTAGCTCTTTGACGTAACGTGTTAAAATAAATGATTGATTGATTGATTGTTAGTTGCAAAAATACCGGATTGTATTTTTTTAGTATCAAGGTTAATGAAGTGAAAGACTGCTGCAAAACAGACCGTATTTTTGCGTATTCAAGTACGCGCGAGCAGTCCGACAAAAGGTCTGGAACGAGGCTGAAAACAGAGAGCGAGACTGGGGAGAGACGAGCTAAAAATACTTTAATTTTTTTCTCTTGTCTCACACGCCCGTAAGACTCTTTATACGCTGCGCTTTACCGATTTCTTTACTGATTTTGAGAAAAAAAAAACCCGACTGTTTTGCAGTCTAATGAAGTGATGCATAGTCAAAAGTGCTACCAACGTAAGAGTAAAAACGCAGATCTTTCCATTAATTAGGCCGTTTTTATTAACCTTATTGACACTGTCATGGAGAATATGCCTTCCTTGAGTACACATTTGTTTTTCAAAAAACTTTGGTTGTGTGTCTGCACTTTGTTTGATTCAGGATCAATCAACCTTTTCTGTAGAGAAATGAACAAATAAAGTATGTTAAAATACTTTAACACGTTTACTGCCCTAGCCAACAACTGAGAAGAAACTCAACTCCATATAATACAAAGTGAAAACTACTTCACTGTGAACAACAACCTCTTCAAATATATATCGCATTAAATTCATGCAAAATTTAGTATTGACGATAAATTTATGCTTACTAGCGTTGTGTTATGCTCTTCGATCAACCGTGGAATCGAATGTTAGGTTCAATCAAAGTCGAATTTTGACACAAAAACGGGATACACGTTTAACAAAACTGTTGCTTCCGTGCCACTCGATACAAGCTAATTTATATACCAAAACAAAGCCCAATAATTTTTGTTCCACTGCTAGTAGTTCAGGCGCGGATCTAGGATAAATACTGACCTATTTCCTAAACAAGGGGCCGAGAGAGCAAGCTTCTAGGGGAGCCAATAAACACCACCAATAAACCTCATATTTGAACCGAAGAAAAAACTCTTTGAGGTCGCGTGTTGGTTAGATCAATGTTTATACATTTGCACTGACTGTAGTTAAGGTTTTGAACAGCCTTACTGGCCATTTTAAGGTTGCTCCACTTCCCTTATTTGCTTTTACGAGGTTGCACAGCGCGCACAAATGGGCATGTACCAGAGATTAGATCGCCTTGTTTTCCAGCAAAGATCTTTCTCACTGCACGCCTATGGACACCTGTCCTTGACGGACACCAATAGTGTCCGTCTCAAGGTTCGGATATACTCGTATTTAAAATTGAAGGCAAGGCTGATCGATTACAGTTTAACGTTTATTCTACTCTGACGTAGCTTTTACAGCCCCTCATGAAGACTAGTTTTGTCTAGTCGAAATATTGGACAAATAAATTACCAATCCTAAGGATGGCTGTCCTGATCAGCTTTGCCTTCAGTTTCAAATGTTATTCTATATTGATGATTCTGATCCTCTTTCCTCTGCACAGGCCTCTTTGCATCGCAGGGAGGCTGGGAGAAAGAAAAAGAAAGCGCGCGGGACACGATGGGAAGGGGAAAAAAGAGAAGCCTTTCCCCCTTCCCATCGTCCCCCTCGCGCTTGCTTTTTTTTTTTTTTTTGCTATTTTTATTGGGATAGCTATCGGGAGCCTCTGCGGAGGAGAGAGAGCCATTATCCGGATTTCCCTCGCTGCTATTTGTCCAAGTGGTCCATGCAATAATTGTTCGCTAATATTCGTACACTCAAACCCCGCTTTCATTAACGCAGGGTCGTAACATGGTATATCCGGGACCCATTGATCCCTATTTTCTTGCCGTTATTTTGATCCCTGAGCCCCATTTTCCCCAACATTTTGATCCCTGAGCCCTGATAAAGAAAATGATCCCATCCATGTTTTTACACAAAATTTTAACTTAGACAACTTTGTTTATATCCAAATATAGAATATAGAACATGCTCAAATGGGCTGATGAGAAAAACATTAACTTTAATTTTTAGTGCAAGTTGTGGGTTCTATCAGAGCATTAAAGACAATATGAGTCAGCCTCTTTTTGTGCTTTATTCTATTTAATACACTTTAAATATAATGTTTGGCGATACTAGACAAATGTTAAAACCTCATTTTCTTGAACGGGAGCTTTAGTAAGATACAGAATGTAAGTTATTGTTAATTTATAAATTAAAAGTAGTCCACTTCCCTTTAAGTATCGTACATCTTGAAAGATCTTGCGGCGGAATCTTGATTTTTTCAGATGTAACGTTCATCAAGAGTATTTACAAGATTTATTTTCAGTGTTGCTCATACGAGCAAGGCCACCCGGAGGTTTATAAGCCAATCACAAGAAAGCATTGGATTCAAAATTTGAATAAATACAATTTAGTCAAACAGTAAACACAGCTAGCGCTGGTTGGTCCCCGGTTGAATTAACGTCACTGTTACGTACTTCTGAACTGAGGTCTTCCTCTAGCTTTCCAATTCCTTTCCCATACGAACATCTGCTTGCCCGGATAACTTGTCCAGTTAATCATTGTCCGACAGTGTGTGGGTCACAGAAGTTTTATTTCCAAACAGACTCTTGCAACCAAAAATTTCACATCGGCCGTGTTACTGGTCTACAATATTGATGTTGATAAAGTGTAATTGTTTGTCTCACGATTCAGTCACTGAATGATGTAGCAGATCGCGACGTTTCAACTGCGTATAACAAGTGTTCATGAAAAAAAGCAACACTTAAAGACCTTGCCTTGCTAGTCTTCGTTGACTGGTCACACGTGAACTTATATGACTCCAAGATCTGGTTCTGGTTGGTCGATTATTAGCCGATGAGATTGGTGTATTTCTTACTCCATTGTTTGTAAGAGCTTTTGCCTCACTGGTCCACTGTTGTACGGATCTCCTATTGCTGTGTTTCTTGATTAAGGGCAACCAAGCTTCTGGAATTTCGATTCTGCTATCCCTGTTGATGTTGTTAGAGTGTAGCCTTATGTGAATTTTTTCTTTCACTCTGTGTGTGTTACATTGAGGATCACGATAAATTACCAATAGCAAAATACCTGCTTTACATGAAGTAGAAAAATTAAAAGATGCAGGTTCTACAGTTTAACAGTTTTTCTGTGTCAAAAAAATTAATGGCTTTTCCTGGCTTAATAGCTTAATAACCATTGTAGATTGACAGTGGACATATCTGGTTGTAGGTCTTCCAGACCTACTCCTTCCAGCTTTAATTCAAATCTAATTGGCTCTGAAAAGTTGTCCGCCTAAGCTTGCTCCCCTTCCTCTTCGTCACCACCTGACGCAGGTGACTCATCTGATTCAACTGACCCCTGGAGCAATGCAACTAGGCGTTACTCTTCAAGGCAGCTCAATCAGAAGTTGTTTCCATCTTTTATTATTTGAACTTTCCTGATGATACACTTAGGTGAATTTCTATCGTCACGGTGCCCAGTCTGGTATACAAGGCGATCTTCTTCTGACTGTTCCAGCCATCTCAAACCCATGTGATCTTCCAGGAATGCGTCACCGTTATGGTGGAGATCTTTCAAAACAACTGCAGGGAATAAAGGAATGATACACCTCTTGTAATTTTGCTTGAGAGCAACTATGTCGCCTTTTGAATAGATAATCTCTTGCAACGTCTTGAAGTGTAGTTTGTCCTTCACTCCCTCGAACCTCTTTCAGCAGATCGACTTCTCCATGTGCCGACGCATTCCTTCTGAACATACTCAGAGCAAGTGGAAGTGTACCAGCTCTTCCTTTGGTCTTCCCTCTCGTTCGTTGCTGTCGTACACCCCGTCCGAATTCTTTCGCAAAGCTCTGCAATGCCTTCCTTTGTCGCTCCTTTCCCTCCGCGCTCGTTTCCGCGTCCATATCCTGCTTAAGGTTTACTCTTGCCGTGCGACTTTCGACGCCATTCCAGTGCCTTTGGACCCAGCTTTCTCTGTGTGTAATGGCTTCGAGGACCAGTATAAGAGATAAATGAGGATTGGTAGAGCCTCGCTATTGATTCTAAAAGGCAGCTGGGCCGCAGTGATGCATAGTCGTTCAGAGCGGGTGTTCTCTCTCCACCAAAAAATTCAGGCTCCAAATCTAAGGTGGTGATATCTTTCGGGGCCAACCGTTACACAAGCCGAGGCCGAATAGCCCAAGGGGCCAAAAAACTTCTTGCAGATCAATATTGTCACTAAGATCTGTAAATTTTGTGCAAAACAAAATAGCCACGGCACGAATGAGGTCTGAACAAATCTTGCACGAAAAAAATAACCCATTTCCGACTCAAAAATCAAATAGTGGGCCCCTTACTGGTTGCCCTTCTTGCTAAGTGGTATAATATATTAACTTCCTGCAGACTCTGCTTCTTGTACCTAGTATACAACATTCCTTCACCAATTCAACCGTTTATTTTATAAAAAAAACTAAAGAAAATAAAATATAAAAGTATTGTGACTTTTATTTCACCGAGGTAAGTCGTTGGTGTTCCACTTTGACTTATTTTCAATAATTCTACACTGTAATTTCAAACTATTTATTATACAAGCATTTATCAGTTCTACAGAAATGGAATGTGTCCTTTACTTTCCTGGTCCAATACTAGTACTGGTAGGTGAACCGATCTCGGTTTCTCATCAGAGTTCGAGATAACCCTAACACTCCATGCAATTAGAGCAGATTTATTAAATTGCGAGAAAGCATTTATTTTGCAACAAAGCGCGCGAATTCATATAATTTTTATTGCACTTTTGTATTCTACTTTTGACGTCTATTCTGACTAATTATTTAAGCACTTTTAAGAGTTAAGTTACTGGTCAAAAAATACGAACCTCGATTTATAGTCGCCTTGTGACTGGCTTGAGGCGATGAGGCAATCGGGACCTATACAGTAAATTCCGCTTTCAATAAATCGGTTTGTCTATTGTCCTGGCGGTATAGTTATGTTCGATCGGCCGAAAAACTCTATGCTTGGACCGTTACCAGGAGTAAATCAGTCAAGGAAGTACTACGTACCTTTCTCTGTCACAGGATTTCTTTTTGTCCTTTTTCTTCTTCCCCATTTCTCGCCAAAAAAGATATGTAAAATCGCTTTGTCTGCCTTCTGGCATTGACAGAGCGTTGAGGAGTTGCGTTACAAAGCAAGATAATTGACTTGAGATTCATATTACGGTGCCCTCAACAATTAATAAATTAAGAATATGATACCATGTTTTCGTCAAACAACCAGGACTTCGTATGACAGGAACTGCCGTCAGCCGGAAGCAAGAATGGGTAATGTACCTTGGCCAGGAAATTCTATGGACACAAACCTTATTATGCGGAAAAATATTGTGATAAGAGAGTTTTAGACCGTGTAATAAATCTGATCCCTGATTTGGGCTCAAAAGCCTTGTGATCCCTGATCCCATTCTTCTGAGCCCTGAGCCCTTTCCTCTGAGCCCTGATCCCAGTCATATTTAGGGCTTTGAGCCCTGAGCCCAGTACCATGTTACGACCCTGTTAACGGACACCCGTCACTTAATTGAACACATCATGATTGCGGACTGTTTGCTTTGTCCCTGGGAAAAGAAACCCGTTACATTTTCTCTATATTCAACCCGCTTAATACGGACACCCCGATTATTCAGAAACATTCCATGGCCCCCTCAGTGTCCATATTAACCGCTGGGTTTGACAATATTTATTCATGTCACGATGCTTGGCCCCAGGTAAATCAATCATTTCCTAATCATCTCATGCTCGTGGCCTGCTATGAAATACTAATAACAATCCTACTTTATTGCAACTCTAAAACCTTTCAACAAACTGAGCAGTCATCGTTGTCCTGCCTGAAATGCGTCTTATTGTTTTTGTTCAGTTGTGTTACGTTCTTTCGCTTTCTTTGTGACGTAAATAAGAAAAAGCTCGCACTGTGTCACATGCTTCCGTATTGGTCGACCGTTAGTCATTTATAGAAGTCACGCGATCAGAGTAACTTCGACTCTTCCTGGATGTGTACGTACGGGTATATTCTTTGTATATTATTAAACTCGTCGTCTTCCAGCAGGTTCTTCCGCCGGTGGTGGCTTCTCTTTTTTCCTTGCTGTAGCAGTAGAAGCAGAAGCGAAGGGCAGGCAACAAACGACAAATAGTGAGACGCAAGCCAAAGATTTCGGTATGTTTAATTTTCGGTATGTAGCTACAGAGGAAGCAAATCTTTGAGTCTTGTTGTAACTGACGTAGTTAATATTTACTAAGAACCTTAGTACACGTAAAGTACACGTAAAATGCAAGGTAACGAAAGAGATGCTACATAATTTAGGACTTTTCTCTTAAAGAAAATGCAATTTCAATTCTGTTTCACCGGTCATTCAGTGAAACCGCAATAATTATGCGAATTTATTCTGCTGTATATATATATTGGCCCTGAATGCCTTTGTGACAGTGTTACGTGAAGGCATCTTTAAATACAATCAAGTTATGTTGGATCACTTTTTCCGACCTTGAACTGAAATAGATTGATTCGTAACCTGCCGGACGTTGAGTCTATTTAAGACCCTTCCCGGCTGTCGAGTCCAGCACTCCATTGCACAGCGAATTTCGTTAGTACACTTTGAGCTCATGAGACTTGCTGTAGTGACTGGTGCCACCACACTAAGCAGAGATCCAAGTCTATGATAAGCAGTATATTGCATAGAGGCAAGACGTTTAAAAAGATAAAACCGACATCAATTTAGGTTTCTAATAAACTGCCCACCTACCCCCTCCCCCCAAGCTAACATTTTGTACTAAGTGAGAAGCAAGTGTTAATGTTAGCTTAGGGGAGGGGTAGGTGAGGAGTTTCCCAGAAACCTAAATTGATCTGACTTGTCTTCACATCAGCTGAATTCCAAAAATAGTGGTCCAGTTTCGGTATTTTGAAGTATTTCCTTTCGTCTGTGGAACATTTGGTAAGATGTAAATGGATTGCAACTTGAAAAAGTTGGGCCAACCATTTCAAGTTTTAATTATATGCCTACAAGAATCACCAAAAGAATTGTTATTGGTAAGTGCTCCCTGATCAGATGTGTTCGATATCTTCTATCTAACTACTCCTTACCAAAGGAGCTGCATCAGTTTTGTGTTAGTGGGCAGTGCTGTAGCATGGGGAGGGGCTAGGGCCCCCCAATAATTTTGACAGGAAAGTTTAATTTGGTCAGCGGTCACGCTCTTCACACTGCTCTTCGGTTTCGGTTCAATGAAGTGTGAAAATGTCAGATCAATGATTTTGGTCAGTTAAAAATTGCTGGAAATTAATGCTCTCGGAGGGCTGAAAATGCTATTTCAGAGACCCTATATTTCAAAATCTTCCGGGGGAGCAAGTCCCCCGGACCCCCCTCCTTCGGCGCTTGCGATTGGTCCCCCAGTAAATATAACCTACTACAGCTCTGGTCTCGGTTGTTGAAAGTCTGGATAGCGCTATCCACCGGATAAATCTCTGTCCAGTAGATAGTGCAATTAGTTTCCCCATTATTTATCCGCCGGACAGTGATTTATCCGGTGGATAGCGCTATCCAACGTTTGAACAACCGGGGCCTGGAGGGTGAAGGCACTAAGTAATTAATCGGACATCAGCACAGGATTGACCTAAAACAGCTGCAACACTCTCGTGACATAGCCTCTTTAAGAATCAGGAGCTTCAATCTGAATTCAAAGGAAGTGACCATATGCAGTCACTACGGCACAATCTCTGTAATCTCTGCACGGACTGAGAACTTGGGAGAAAGTGTCAACGTGAAACTCGTCTTATGTTCATACTAGGTCAGCGGTTACTCATTTAGTGATCCGAGCATTTGGATTTTAGAGAGACCTTCGCTACGAACCGCGTGTGAGATTTTAGTCTTCGTGTTTATCGGGATTAAAGCTGTTTTGTTGGATAATTCTACTCTGTTTTCTGCCGTGGACATTATAGTATTCAGTGTTCTAAATTCTAAGTCGTTACGCCAGCGCTCACGTGAATCATAATTAACTCAGACCTTTCCTCTTAGCCTAAAAAGAGAATCCTGAAAACGAACAACAGCTAACAATTTTTGTATTTTCTTTCATTTTAGGTCGACATGCCTCCTTCAGAAAGCAACCCAAGGTTTCGCCCGTGGTCAAAGTTATTATTTTTTGTTTTGGCAAAACTCGTATTCAACGCGATCTTAGTTGCAACTGTTCTGATTATTCTAGTACAGAGTGACGCTTGGCCTGAATTACCCTTGCTATATTCCCCTCTTATTTTCATCTGTATGGTATGGCCCTTCATTGCATGGATGAGAGTGTACAAAAGCTGGCGAAATACCATGTTGAATTATCGTTTGTATGGTGACAGCCATGTATGGACTGCTGATTTGACCGGTAAACAGTTTGGGCAGGTAAAGCAGATTTAAAGTGGCCGAGAGATGACAATGGTGTTTGTGGGTCTGAAATCAGACTTTCGGGGTTATTGGTTGAGGCAAATTTCCCAGTGTATAAAGTATCTGATGCACGGACGTTTAATCCCGTGGTCCTGTTTAAAACAATTCGAAAATGTTTAGGTTAGATGTTTTATTTAGTCACGGTAGTGTTATCAGCTGATGAGCTGGTTTACATAAAATAATGCCGTGTTAAAAGATTTATGTATCTATCAGAGTTTTGAGTTAATTCTAGTTGTGAAAAAAAAACTGTATGAAAACTAGATATTAACCTTTGATAAAATATTCTGAACTAGGATATAAGTCGGTATTGAGATCTAAACAACGCCCTTCCTGTTTTTTTTTTTTTTAAGTTGGTCATTGGTTTCGTTGAGCGTGGGAAACTTTCATTGAAGCTTCGTTTACGTATGTGAGCGGATCCCAGGTTTTTTCCGAGTCGGCAGCGATGGCCAGGGCGAGGTCCAG